CTTTTTGCTTTTTAATAAAGAGGGATGTTAAACCATATGAGTTTCTACCTACTCTGAAGGGAAGTCCAGACAGAGGTTCACCACTGAGATCTCAGAGTCAGCTTGCATGTTAATGGAGAAAACAAGCAAGCATGGTTTGCTTTCCCATCTTCCTTTATAATGTGTGAAGTCAGACATGAACATTTCACCTGTGATGAGATCAATGACAGCTAGATGTCATTTAGAATTCCCAAATCTCTTTGCAAGTGAAGTGTGTACACCCTAGTTTTGCAAGGGTCAGATACGCTTCTGCTTTCCCTGCTGTATCTTGTAAAGGATGCAGGACTGTTGGGGATCTTTAAGACCCTCACTTTCTTGCTCACAGCAATAACTATCACCACTTTATAACTTCATTTTTCAGTATTACTAAATTACTATTCTCTGTTATTTTGACAGTCACTTATTAGCTACTTAAAATGTGATACCCCACCTTTCAAACAGAGATCAGTATCCAAGGCAGGTTCCTGCACTATTTAAAACACCAAGAAGACAATCAGAATGAGTAAAACAACTTAACTGACAGAACAAAAAAAATTATAATACTGTCAATAGATAAATGAAAATTTTCAGACAAAGTCTGGCAAGAGGGTTCTATAATTTGGGGTCCTCTGAGAAGGCCCAAAAGTTGCAAGTACCCAGAACAGGGCTTCAGTTGAAGAAATATCTGGTTTATGTTTGCAAGGGGGATATAGCCAATGAGAAGTTAATTACAGCTTGCTTTAGTTGACATGAAATATAATTAGCAAAATACTTTCTTCTTTACATCACACTGAATCTTTCCCACATTAACCACTATAACTCAGTCAGTGTCTGCCTTCTTAAAATCTAATGTAGCAGAAGTAACCGGGACAGCTCATTGCCAATCTTGCTACATTTAAAAGACAATAGCAAAACTCAGAACACTTCAGTATAAACTAGCCATCACTTTCATAGAGAAGTTTCAGGACTACTTTCAAGATACGTGTTCTTCTCAAGCATAGAGCTAATATGTGTTTTAGTTAGCAGTAACTAAAATGTGCAGCTGTACTGGATCCATTGAGTCCAGTATCCTGTTTTATACAAAGGCCAACCAGATGCCCTAGAGGAAGCATTAAAAAGAAATGCACGCTGCCAATGTTCCCTCTAAGCTGTGGAGTCTTGTGAGCAAAACTTCTACTTTGTGAGCTACTGGCATTAAAGTTCTGAGCGAGTAATTTGGCCACTGCATCAATTAGTTTGCTCTGGAGCCCTCCTTCCTGAGCTAAGACAAAAATCTGTGAGCTGGAGCCTAAAAAAACTGTGAGCTAGCTCACACTAACTCAGCTTAGAGGGAACATTGCACGCTGCATATTCAACTAAGTTCCTTCTCATGGAATGGGTCTTTTCCTCTTGGTGACCTCCCCACATGCTCAGAGATAATCAGCACTAAGGGACTTTGTGAACAACATCACCAAACCCAGGAACAAGAACTGAACCAAAATTGCTAGAATGTGCCACGCAACCAGGTCTTCAAACAATAGGCCAGTAAACAGAAATGGACAACGGTAGAATGTGCCACACAACCAGGTCTTCAATAGGCCAGTAAACAGAAATGGACAACCAACTTCTCCAGAAAGTAGGCACTTGTTTTTCTACCTCTCTATTCATAGACTGTCAAGGCAACCAAAACTACTAATATCTCTCGTTCACTACGGTACGATTTGCCACACGTATATATTTGCTTTAGCGTTCGAGCACAGCGTTCCAGTGCTTTTACCCTTCAGCACCTGGAGCAGACAGGCAAGCGACGCTTCATCCCAAGCTGCACCATCCTCTCCCTACCCCTACCCCCCAAAAAGGAAGGGGGAATTCACATCGCCTTCTACCCACCACTCACCGTATAACCCCTTTCCAACTCGCTCTCCTCATAGCGAAACGAGGGGACGAAAACCTCCATAGCAAGATCAGTACGAGAGCAGAATCTGACTGGAACCGCGACAGACGGGGGGAGAAAAGGGGACGAAGAAAGAAGGGGACCAGGGACGCCCCTGGTGCAGGGCGCGCTGGCAGGGGGACTTTACGGCCCCCGAGTAGCTCACAGCCTGGCAGAAGAAGCCATCTGCAAGGGCAAATCATGTGACTGGCGGTGACCAACCTTTTCCTATCTCTATGGGAACCACCGCCTCTCCCTCTCACGTGATTCTTGCTCCAGACCCTGGGAAAGGCCGGCAAGTGGGGGAGAGCGCATAGCGGGGAGCAACAGGGGACGGACAGTAGAAAAGGGAGGGGGGGGGGAGAGAAACCGCGTCAACCTTTTCTCTGTGCAAGACCTGGCCTTGTGCGACGAAGTATGACACGGTGACCGTTAGAACTGAAGTGCTTTGTCCTTATAATCTAATGCCTGGACACACACATTGCCGCGGGGGCGGGGGGGGGGGGGGGGGGGGGGGGGGGCGGAGCGGATAAACAGCTATTGGGACCAAAATATATTGAAATCAACGTTAGGTTACACACGTTTACTATGAAGCTTGACTTTGTTACGACCCCCCTTCCATAATACTGTGGCCCATAAATATATTGAAATCAACGTTAGGTTTCCCACATTACTATGAAGCTTGAATTTGTCACGACCCCCCTTCCATAATAATGTGGCCCGTCTCTCTTCCTGTAGCAAACTTGCAAGGCGTGTTCGAAATAAGTACAATTAAACAGAACAGGCGGTACCCCTTCTTACGCCAATGTTGAACCCAGGCTTGTTCATAGCCATAGCTATGTCCCTGTTTCCGGCTGACTTCAGTAGACCGCAGTCACCCTTTTCCTTTTGGCATTGCTATCCGCTGTTGTAGTTCCCTAGTGCCCTGTAAAGTCCAGCTCCCAGTTCAAAGGGCAGCACTAAGGGATAACTTTAGTCAGGAACAGAGACTCTCTTGTCACTTACATGGAGGACAAATTCAAGTAGTTTTCTCCTTCAAGTGTAAGAAAGCCTAATTCGTGTTGGGTTTTTTAAGTTCAAATAGATTCAAATCATGCAGTTCTAGTATCCAGCACTTAAGTCTATTCACAATGGTGAATTGAAATAAGGACTATAGCTAGTCAATGCTCGAGGAAAAAATGAGGAACTAGGTTCTGCCAACCTCTATGTATCTGGAGTTCTGGAATTACAGTTGATCGCCAGAGAGGAGTTTCCTTGCAGGAATCGCAGCTTCAGAGGGACTCTATGGCATTATATTCCTACTGAGCTGCCTTCGCTCCCCAGATATACCCTCCAAAATTTGTTTTAAATATCACCATGAATGCTTATTTACAGTAATCCTGTTGCTGAGTCTTTCCAGAGCACCAGAGTTTACAAATGTTGGAGGGTGGGTTAGATAAGTATTTTATGCCGCTCTGCCCCATAACCTCTGTCCAATTTCTTGCAATTTTGGCATTATTCCTGTTCCTCAAAGGATTCACAACTGAAGTGATATCTTTCAGAATTAGAATATACAAATATGATAAAAAGAGCAGTTTCTCACAGAACAGAGAACTATTATCTTCTATTATACCAAGTTTACCACTATAACTTTAAATTTATACATCTTGATCTATCACTATAAATTTGTTATCTTACAAAGATACTGCATGATTTTTTATTAGTTGTTGGCTGTAACAGCCAGCCTTGGCTACCCCTCCAATATACCACATATTGTAAAATACTGGTTTGTGTCTGAAGACCAATCCTATACAGTTTAAAGGAATTAGTCAAATAAGTTTCTAGTACTTGATACTATGGCTACAACATGAATATCTAGCACAAAAATGCTTCATTTTTCACAGTAGTGGTTCAAGTACTTAACTCAGTTTAATTCTAAAGTGATTTCAGTCATGCTCTGCAGATCAGAATGGTAACCTCTACATTTTTCCTAAGAGAACTGAGGGAGCAGTCCTAACTAGGTTGATTCAGAAGTCCAATTTTATTCAGTAGGGCTTCTCACTCCTCTCCTTCACTGGATTATGCTATTGTAAATTAAAGATGAATAACAGAACACTGAATTTTGTTTTCTTTCAAGATTGACACAGCATTGATACAAAACTGCTATTTTGAAATTAAACTGATGCCCTGAAAGTTCTGCTTTTGAATTAGAGCATATCTTTAGGAAATTGTATCCAAATAATATCAACTCTTGTATGGATTTTCTTGAGAGAACTTGAATTGCCTTTGCCAAAAATGCATACAAGAAAACCCCAAGAGCAACACAAGGTAGTGCATATCATCCCACAGAGAGGATAAAGTGTTAGGAGACTCCAAGTAAGCATCCCTTAGTACACATGTTCACACCATGAGCCAAAGAGTGCACATTTCTAGCCAAGGCACCTTATGAGCCTAACTTTTAATGAGAAAATTCATCTGTGACCACACAACTGGCACAGTTACAAAACACTCCAGGTGTGTCCTCAGTACTGTTTTCAGCACAAGTCATATCATGGCCAAAAATTGAGCGCAGTACATATTATTGGTTTTAAATTCCTAGAATTATGATTTTAACATTAAAATCTGACTGACTAACAGTTAGAAAAAAACTACAAGAAGCCAATTTTCAAGTAAGAGTGATTCTTAGTTATTTACTCTTCACTTACCTTTTTCTGGAAAAATGAAAATTACCTAACAGAGATGGCTCACCAGAACACTGCAATTGTAATTGCTCCAAAGAGTCATTGACCCCCACTCAAGGATCATATAACATATTTCCTCTGTCAAACAGCTACAATCCCATTTTTTCCCCAAATTTACAAGTAGTCACAGGTGCAAAGTATGTATGAGGCTACAACCAGTGAGAATATTTGTGGCTAGTGTTTACATTACTACAACAGGACAGAATATAGTTGCAAAAAGCCAGCGGCCAGCTATGCAAAGAAAAACCTTTGTTATTCAGCACTCATGGGGGATGGGTGTTGCTGGTTAATCAAATGTGCTGGATAGTCAAGTTTAGTGTTTTATTCCAGTTCCTACCCACAGGAATTCCACCAGCCAAACCCCACCCTATGGGAATGCCCTGCTGACAGCATCCACACCCAGAAGGACCTTCTCCCCCCACTCAAGCCACAGAGCAGTCTTATGCAGCGGGCAGACAAGCAAGCTGCCTGGGAGCCCTCTTTCAGAGCTAGTCCCTGACAACTTGAGGCAGGTTGAGGAGGAAGGAGGAACCCAAGGGTGGCAGCTGGCAGTGCCAGCTGTCAGACATCCATCAATGGCCAGTGGCTAGGGTTGCTAGGTCCCCCCGGCCACCAGTAGGTGATAGGAGACAGATGTAGGTTGGGAAACTCCTGGAGATTTAGGGATAGAGCCTTGGGGTGTCAGGGATGTCAGGGACCTCAGTGGGGTACAATGCCATAAAGTCCACTGTTCAAAGCAGCCATTTCCAGTCTGGAGATAAGATGTAATTCCGGGAAATCCCCAGGTCCCACCTGGAGGCTGGCATCCCTACCAGTGGCATCAACCTGGCTGGTTAGAGATGGGAGCAGGGCATGCATGCACCCAAAGATAGAGTTGTAATGGCTGAGAGGGTAAAGCTTGCCCTTTGGGTGATGCTGGCTAAAGATTTTACTGTATATCCCAGTTCATACTACATTTTCATATGTGATCACAGTACAGCACTTGTTTGCATATACATATAAGAGTTCAGAATATGCATTTATGTCATCTTCATCTCTGTACATATTCACTTTGTATAATTTGGTGCACAACTCATTATTTATTGTCAACATAAAATTTCAGAGAATGAAACTATGGATGTTATGTTATCTTTACTAAATATAGTGTCACTGAAATTTAATAGTTCACCTTTCAGAACATAGTGCTCCAAATCCAAGTAAAAATAATCTGAATTTTTTTTAAAAGTTAAACCAGATTCAGAACCAAGGAAATAAAAAGTACTGGCTTATGTTTCACGAGATATATCCCTTTATTCAGGGGTCATTTCCTGCGAGAGCGCACAGGAGCGGAGCTCTGGCAATAAGGAGCCCACCCCCTGCTCCCAGCAGCCCTCAGTCGAACCATGAGGAGCAAGAAGCAGCCAGGTAAGTTGCAGAGCCCCCCCCCCGGCCCGCCTTCAGGTACAAGCTCTCCCTCCTCTGTGAGGGCAGATCTGCGTGTTCCCCCTCCCCAATAGCTAGCAATCCAAAACAGTCCAGTGGAGCCTGAGCGGTGGGTGTTGCCTTCTGATACACTTCTGGTGATGTCAGGGTGTGTGGCATATGCAAACAAGTTATTTATTTATTTATTTATTTATTAGGCTTATATCCCGCCCTTCCACATGGGCTCAGGGCAGCTAACAAGAGGCAATTGCCATACATAACACTAAAACCAGATAAAACAATCAATTACATTTTACACTTAAAATTGGTGCTCACAACAATATATCATTCAAGACGGGGACTCCAATACAATGTTTCAGAGGTTCTACTGTCTCTTCTTGATCGGTCTGCACTCTGTCCATTCTCCATTCTTAAAGCCAGTTCACATTGCCAAAGATGGCAGCGCGGTGGTGGCACAGTGATGGTGGCGGCTCCCACTCAAAAGCCTGGCGGAAGAGCTCCGTCTTGCAGGCCCTGCGGAACTGCATAAGGTCCCGCAGGGCCCTGATCTCCTTCAGGAGCTCGTTCCACCAGATAGGAGCCGCCACCGAAAAAGCCCTGGCCCTAGTCGCAGCATATTTGACATCTCTAGGGGCTGGGACAGCCAGAAGATGTTTTGCCCCCGACCATAGTGCCCTTGGGGGAACATATGGGGAAAAGTGGTCCCTTAGGTGCTGGACCCTGGACATATAGAGCTTTATAGCTAAGAATCAGCACTTTGAAGCGGACCCGGTACGCTATTGGCAGCCAGTGCAGTGCCTTCAAAACAGGCTGGACGTGGCCTTGCCTAGAGAGACCCATCAACAGCCTGGCTGCTGCATTCTGCACCAGCTGCAGCTTCCGGATCTGTGACAAAGGCAGCCCCATGTAGAGAGCGTTGCAGTAGTCCAACCTCGAGGTGACCGTTGTGTGGATCACTGTGGCCAAGTCATCGTGGTCAAGGTAGGGAGCCAACTGCCATGCCAGCCGCAGATGGTAAAAGGCTGACTTGACAGTGGCTGCTACCTGGGCCTCCAT